GCGCTGCGCTCCGGGAAGCGCCGCCGCAGCCGCCGCAGCCGCCGCAGCCGCCGCCAACTTAACTTTCCGGATGGCTCACCAGCGCGATGGTCCCTCTGCGTCCATTCGGCCCGTGCTGCCTAGGCGCGGCCACCCCAGCCGCGTCCGGCTTGGCGCGCTGTGCTCTGGGCGGCGGCTGGGCTCTCCGCTCCGGCACCCGCTCCCTCCGCATCGGGTCCCCGACGGGGCACGGCTCGCCTGGCTGCCGCGCACCGCGATAACCGGCGCTTTGCATGCGGGGATTTGGGACCCCCAAAGCTAGTTCTCTGCGCTCCCTCTGCCTTGAGAAGCTCTAAATTCATGGACCCCGGCATAACATCACCCCCCCGCCCAGGCTCGCGGGGAACTCAGTGGCAGGGATGTTCCATGTAGGGGCACTGGCCATGGGTTCTCTATTCAGGACGCCGAAACTAACGCCCTAGGGGTTACAAGGTGCTGCCCGCCGCGTAAGGAGAAGGGAGGGTGGCTTACCAGGATTGCGGAGCTTCTTATTCTTTGACACGGCCAAGATGACCATGGAATTGCCGATCAGGTCTACAACGATGGTGATGACCATCGCACAGAACATAAAGGTGACCAGAGCCGGTGGGTAGTCTGGCTGAGGCAGTTTACAGCCAATACAGCCGTATGGGGTGGGAACCGCCAGGGTGGGCCCCATGGCGTCCCCGGAGACCGTTAAGACCTCCAGCGTGCTCAGGATCGGCAGCCCGGTCCGGATGGAAAACACCTGCTCTGTCACCAGGAGCTCCGGGAAAGCGTGCCTCTCTCTTCGAGAATCTGAGAGGGAATGACAGCCTCCCGCCCTCTCCGATGAGCTTTTAAAGCCTCAAGGGGAGGCTAGCCCCGCCCCAAATCCCTCCCTCCGACCAATCAGAGCTCCCTGACCACCCCTGCTTTGGTTGTCACCTCTTCTTTGACAAATCCACATCGAGGTGTCGCCTTGCTTCCGACTGCGTTGTATTGCCTTGTATGTCCTTCCCCTCTAGTCACAACTCCCCTCCACAACTCCCCAGGTACCCTGAGTCTTGACAAGCTTGGAGTCTTCCCCCCGCCCCCACCTGCAGCCGCCGCCGCCGCTGAGCTCTCATTTCTGGCAAGTTTTTCTCCCTCCTCTCGTCCCCCCCAAAACAAACCCTCAGAAAAGCTCTGTAGACTGCAAAGCAGCGGCATGGGGGTCCCTCTTGGGGTCCAGCGCCAGGGCAATCCAGTTCTCAGTCCCCAGCAGAAAGCAGGGGATGGCCAGTGACCCCCTCGGACCCTAGATCCATGCCCCTACAGTCTCCTTGAGAGGTTCACCCCATCCACGGTGCTGTTGCCTGTCTGGACTTTCTGCATCCCGCGGGAAGCAGAGGACAGCCGCTGGAGGCTCTCACCCCAACTCGGGGTCCCCAAGCTCTAGGTAACTGATCCTCACTCCGGTGCCCTCCAGGAACCGATTGCCTCCCTGACCGGCAGCGGCAGCAGCGGCAGCAGCGGCAGCAGCGGCAGCAGCGGCGACGGCGGCAGCGGCTAGTGGCGCCTCAGTCCTGTCCCGAGCTTGCACTCTCCATGAAGAGCTGTCCCCTGCTCCCGAAGCTCGGAGCAGGAGCGGGTCGGTTCCCTGGGAGGAAGCGGAGGGCTGCTTGGTCCGCAACTCTGGGAGGAGAGAGGGCGGGAACTCATCCCTTTACCAGCTCCCGGACACTCAGTTTTCGGGAACGCAAAGACTGCTTTGGGAAACAGTATGAACAAGAAAGTCTTTCCCTTGGGCCGCTGCTCCTCCAAGAAGCCGGGGACAGGGGCTGCAGCGCTGCTCCCTCCCGGGAGCCCCTTGCGCTCCGCAGAGCGGCTGCCGGGCGCTCTGGCGGGCTCGGGGAGTGGCGCCGCCGCGGCGGGCAGGGCGCCGAGGTACCAGCGCACAGCCTAACGCCCTGGGCCCCAGACGCAACTCCCCCGGTTCTCCGCCTCGTCATCCTCTGCTGGGGATCTCCTCTGTCCCCGTCCGGAGTGGGCCATGCCCTCGCCCCACAGATCTCCCTCCCCCGCCTGGTGTCACGGTCCCCTGAGGTGCGCTCAGTCTCGCGGAGCGCGTGGGCCACGGGAATCCCAGGGGTTCGGGCTCAGCTAAAGGGGCGCCCCCTTAACAACCTCGGTCGCGGGAGCGGATTTCTGTCCGCTACTAAAAGTTGCGGCCCTCGTGGCGAAGCCTCACAGAAAATCTCTGCAAAACCCCTTGAAACTTGTTCCTGGCCAGCCTTCCTGCCTCAGGGGGGGACAGGGGTTGCCCTGGCCGGGAGCGCCACCATCTGGACGCAGCCGCCCTCCTGCCCCGCGGGGGTACGGACCCGGGGCACGGGGCTGGGGTGTCCCCCGCGGAACTCCAGCGTTCGGGGACCTTCAACGGGAAGGCAGGCGCTGCTGGATGGTAATGTTACCCCCATGCTGCGCTCGCTGCCCAACTCGGAATCGCGCACGAGGAGCCATCTCTCTCCCCCCGGCGCCTTTTCACCTGGCCTAGCCTGCTCCTCGCGGGACCCGGCTGAGCGCGCCGGCTGGACTTGCCCCGGTGGAGCGGCCCCCTCGGCAGTCGGCCAGGAGGCACCTGTCACGGAGGCTACCAGCCGGCTCGGCTTGCCCACCCAATGCCACTGGGAACCCCGAAAAGAGCCCGCAGTCAGCAGCTCACGTGCACCGTGGAGCGTTTGTATGATCCGCACCAGACGGTTCACGCTGCTCGCCCAAGGGTTTGGATTCTTTCCCTTGTGGCGGGGAACGGTTTTGAATGAAAACAAACATGCAAACTACCAACACAATTGGAAGGAAGAAAAGGAAAAAAGCATTCAAGTGACTGAAGGCACTAGACTTCCCCGCAAACAAGTCTGTCAGGCGAGCTGCAAACTGCGAGCGGGTTTCAGGCATTCTTTGTGAGACTCCAGTGCGCCGGGCTTCCGAGAGGAGGTGGGAAAGGAGGTGGCCCCAGGGCTGCGGGAGCCGGGGCAATTTCCCCGTGGGCGCGGCCTGGGTCTCGCTGGGATCGGGGAGAGGACCAGAGGGAAGGGCGAGCTGCCCCCGCCCCCTACCCCTGCTGGGTCTGACCTCTTGGGACCTGGGGTTTTCAATGCTAGGCTCGGAGGCAAGGCAGCTGTTTTAATAATCTAAGGGAGAGAATTCTGTATGCGGTTAAATTAATTTGTTTATTCTTAAGAACTAGTCTTCATAAAGAGTCTGAGCGTTGCCCCAGTAATAAGAAAAACGGATGGCTGTGGCATCGGCTCCGTGGATGACTATGAGGGGAGAACCAGTCTGGTTCCGGGCGGGGTAGACAAGCTCCTGTGCAGAAATTCAACCGCCTTGAAACAGTTAAGACCTTTACTGGGCAGAGGGTGCAGTGGGTATGGTTTATTTAAGCTTTCCAAAAGCTTTTTAATTAAGCCGCTTTCTAAAAAGCTCGCTAAGAAGCCCTAATAACTGGAGGTGGAGAGAAACATTTTATTTGGGTTTTGAAACCTATAAAGATAGAAAATGCAAATAGCAGAGACCTGGGACATTCCCTGAGAATAGATTCGACAGGATCCCAGGAAATTCTGGGAACCCAACAGGAGACTGAGAGGAGTAAACCAATGAGAATATTACAGGGAATTGTATAAAGAGTTTGTGAACTTCCTGGGTGGCGCAGATGATTGCGGCACTCGGTTGCTAACTGACAGCTTGGAGGTTCGAGTCCACCCAGAGAAACCTCAGAAGAAAGTCCTGGTGATCTACTTCCAAAAAATCAACCATTGAAAACCCTCTGGAGCACAGTTCTACTCTACACACATGGGGTCACCATGAGTCGGACTCGACTCGAGGACAGTAACTGGGTTTTTTTTTTTTTTTTTTTTTTGCTTAGGTGTTACATAACCTCTGGGTCTCAATTCCCTTGGCTCTAAAATGCAGAAACTCACAGTGCCCACCTCATCATAGGGTCGATGAGATGGTTAAATGAGATAATGCATGCAAGCGCTTAGAACAGTACAGAACATAGCAAGCATTCACCAACAACTAGTTACTAGCAGTATTCTGGAAGTTTCTAATACTCTGTCTAAACTCTTTTCTGTGACACTTCAATGGAAGACAAGGACTCTCTGGGACAGCAGAGACTCTGCCCTCAGCTGACTCATGCTCCAAGACCTCCTGCTGCTAGGCTCTAATTCCTGGTAGAAGTCACCCAGTGGACACTCACCCTCTCCTCAGGTCACTGTGGGTGTGTCAGATGGAAAGGGCCTTACACAGTGACTTGCCTTCTCACTGACCCCTGAGATGATTCACTGACGGGGTTGTATCTTGTCCACAAGCAGGAACAATTCACTTTCTTGACATCACTCAGAATGAGAGCTTGGGGATGGTTGACCTGGAGACGGGTCAGAGCTGAAGTCCACATGTGGCTGGGTGTGCTCAGTCGGGGGGAGCCGGGAATCTGCTGAGCGTGGCACTAACCAGGCTAGGGTGGGGGCCAGGACCAAGGGCTACAGCCTCAAGGGACCCGAGCAGGGATTTAGGCAGGAATCTAGGGTCCCTGGAACTGGGACTTGATGTTCCCACCTGAGAGACAGCCAGGTCACGGCATCAGCCAACTCAATAGCAGTTTGGAGCAGGTGCTTTTTTTTTTTTTTCCTAAGCAGACTAAGACTGGTCACATTTTCTTTACCAACTTGGAGACGCGGTTTACATTTGTTAAATGAACAAAGATAATGATTGCCCTTTCCAAATTCTCTGGGCTTAATTCATCATGGTTAGAACCACTTTATCTCCCCTGTGCTTCAGCAGCCATTAGGGAAAGCAGGCCATACCCATTTCCTGTAGTGCAATCAGGGGCGCACCAAAATAATTAGCAGCCAGGATCTGAGTGCCTGATGAAGACTACGGGTTAGGTGGTTCAAATCAAAGGGTTACCAGGGAGAGAAGAAGCACATTAATTACTTGTAATAACACTTGGACTCCCTTCCTCTTGAACAATTTACCTGCTAATTAGAGCTTGATAAACAATATCCATTTTTCCTAGCTTCTCATTCTAACCAAGCATGGTCACGCTTAAAGATTGTCCCTCTTATTAATTACCCCCATGGCTTCTGATGCACTGGGAGCTTGGTCTCAGCCCACCCTGCTATATAAGGTAGGGCGTGGCTCCCCTCAGAGCCTGAACTGGTCCTCTCTCTCCACAGCCAGTCCACTAGCCCCTCATAATAGCTAACGTGTGTGTAGTGCTTTCTAGATGTCAGATACAGTTCTGAGTGCTTTGTTCATATATTCTCGTTTAATCCTGACAATAGCCTTATGAGATAGGCACACTAATTATCCCCACTTTACAGATGAGGAAACTGAGGCCCAGGGAGGTAAAGTCATTGCCCAAGGTCACAAAGACAATAAGTGGTCGAGCCGGAAGTCTAGCTCAGGCTGCCTGGCTCCAGAGGCTGCACCTTAGCCACAGTGCCTCGCTGCTGTCTGCAGGCTACGCTGTATTCCCGGCTCCAGGGCTCTGGTTCTCAACTTCCGTGCGTGTCGGAGCCATCAGGAGTGCTGAGGGCAAACGCAGCTTTCTAGGTCTGTCCCCTAGAATTCTGATTCAGTAGAAGCCAGAGATTCTGGATGTTTCCCCAAGTGCCCCACCTCCCCCTCTCCCCCAAAGTGATTCTGATGCAA